CCCTTGAGGATGTTAGAAAAATTAAGCTAGCTAATCTAGCTAGTTAGAGAAGCTAGCGTGCTCAATGAGGCTAGCCGTAGGTACTAGTTTTAGTCTCCTAATTTAGGGTTTCTGAAGTCACTAGTGGGGGCTTTGCAGCTGAATTCCTTTCCATGATTAACTATGGAAAATTTCTGTATACCTCAGCCGAAGGTCAAATCTCAGATAACTTGGGGAATGGAAAGGATGGGCTCACATCAGACCTTGCAGAACGGTCCTGGGTACTCAGGTTGCCCTGTGCCTGGGGACATCCTCAACTATCAGTGCTTTTTGTGCACCCACCACTTGTAAGGGGCTGTTCTAGGTCTGAGGGTCCACCCTCTGTGCTCCCCGGAAACTCATATTAGTATGACACTGGGGCCTCTAGTCTAACAGGAATCAAGTTTCTTTTTAAGCTCACCCTCTAGTCCCCCAATCTGTGACTGCAGAAATTTGATCTTTTCAGTTTATCTTAAGACCTTACTGTCCATCCTTAATACATTTTTTTCTAATTAGATAAATATAAAACTGCCAACTATTTGGACCCACTGCTATTTTATACAGTTTAATTGACCTTTTTCCCCCTGAGAACAGGCCATCCATCGGATCCTCTTTTTCTAATAAAATTGCTCAAAACTTGCAAAATTGCCCTTTCATTGGTTTTATATCTATATTTATTACTAATGTCAAATTATAAATTTAGTGTTGACATATCTTTTTAAGCTTTTTATTTTATTTTATTTTATTTATTTTGAGACAGAGTCTCACTGTGTTGCCCTCGATAGAGTGCTGTGGTGTTACAGCTCAACGCAACCTCAAACCCCTGGGCTTAAGTAATTCTCTTGTCTTTGCTTCCCAAGTAGCTGGGACTATAGGCGCCCACCACAACGCCCAGCTATTTTCTTGTTGCAGTTGTTTTAGCAGACCCAGGCCAGGTTTGAAACCACCACCCTCGATGTATGTGGCTGGAGCCCTAACCCTTGTGCTACAGGCGCCAAACCTGTTTTTAAGCTTTTTAACTAATAGATAAATTTAAATAGAGACTGATTAGCTCATTCACCAAGCTATTCATTTAATTAAAATTGTATTGATATTTTAAAAAAGAATGTTGTATTCATGTCGCTTGATACCTAAGATACACCAAAGGGTATGTGATGAGAAGTCCATCTCCTTGCATCTCGCAGTCACCCATTTATCCTCTTTGGAGAAAACTGTGTCCTCATTTCTTGTGGATTTCTGGGGACATTCTGTGCAGCTATAGGCACAAATTACAAGTTACATTCCCATGCACATGTTCCCTTTATTGCACAAATAGTTGCTTATTATACCCACTGTTTTGTAATTTGCTTTATTTACTTCAGGATAGCTCTTAAATTATTCTGAATCAATTGATTTCTGTTTTTTTAAGAGATGGAATCTCACTATGTTGCCCAGACAGGAGAGTAGTGGCGCAATCATACCTCACTATAGTCTTGAATTCCTGGGCCCAAGCACTTCCCCTACTTCAGCTTCCACGGTAGCTGGGACTACAGCCTTGACCCACTACTCCTGGCTCATTTTCTAATTTTTGTAGAGATGGGATCTGTCTGTGTTGCTCAGGCTGGCCTTGAACTCCTGGCCTCAAGTGATCTCCTGCCTTAGCCTACCAAAGTGCTGAGATTAATCAGCCCTTTTTTGGTGGACATTTAAGTTGTTTCCAATCTTTTCCAAATACATGTAATGTCGCAGTGAACAACCTGGGACATATGTCATTTTTGCATAAATAAGAATGTAATCAGGAGGATAAATTCCTAGAATGAAATTGCTTAGTCACAGGGTATATGTATTTGTATAGTAAATTTAATATCTGAAAACTACTTCACATAGTTTTAAATTTATACTACACCCAGCAGTGTATGACAGTGCCTCTTTTCCTGTTTCTTCATATCCTCATCAGGAGACGCTCAATCATTACATTTTTACCTTTGTCAAGAAGGTAGATTTAGAAACTGATCTCCAGGTTATTTTAACTTGTCCTTCTCTTATCATGAGTGTGGTGGAGTGTCTTTTAACTTGTCTGAGAGCAACTAGACTTTTTGTTCTAGTGAACAAATTCTGTTCACAGAATTCTGTTCACAGAGTCTTTGTGCCCTTTGTCCACTTTTCTGTTTTTTGTTTTTGTTTTTTTATGTCTGTTTGTTGTTTTTACTGTTAACTGATTTGAGGGGAGTGCTTTGTATATTAGGGAAATTAATCCTTTGTCTTGACATGAGATGGAATTTTTTTCCCTAAGTTTATCACTTTCTCTTTGATTTTGTTACTGATTCCTTTGACACGCAAATTTGTCAATTTCTTTTCCTTTATGACTTTTGGGTTTGTGTTACATTTTAGAAAGGTCTTTTCCACTTTATGATCATTGGTTGTTCTGATTTAAGATTTTTTTTTTTTTGTAGAGACAGTCTCACTTTATTGCCCTCCCTCGGTAGAGTGCCATGGCGTCACAGCTCACAGCAACCTCCAACTCCTGGGCTTAGGCGATTCTCTTGCCTCTCAGCCTCCTGAGTAGCTGGGACTACAGGTGCCCACCACAACGCCCGGCTATTTTTGTTGTTGTTGCAGTTTGGCTGAGGCAGGGTTTGAACCCACCACCCTCGGTATATGGGGCTGGCTCCCCACCCACTGAGCCACAGGCACTGCCCTAAGACTTGTTTTTTAATTCTTCCTCTAGTATTTTATTTTTTAGCTTTTAATTTTTCAAATCATTCAAGATATATTTTGGTATAAAGCATGAGTTACCAAATCAACCTTCTTTTTCCCATACAACAGTTATTAATTTCAGCCTTGCTTTTAATGTGTAACTTACATATTGTGTACCCTTGTCAAAGCCCCTTATACCAATCCTGTGCCTCTCCTGTGAGTCAGACTGATTGAAGATGACAGATAATTTTTTTTCATGAGGCAACTTGGCTTGGAGGAAAGATCCTCATCTTCAGTACCTGGCAGAGCTGGTTTTAAATGCCAACTTTGCAACTTCTTACCTGCTCCACCTCAGGCAAGTTACTTAGCCTTGTGGAATGTGGTTGGCAATACCCCACTTTGCAAATGGGTTGTGACAACTAGGGGTAACGTTTATAACTGGCTGGTCAGTGCCCGGCACACAGTAGACACTTGATAAACAGCAGCTGTTACTACTGTCCTTATCATCGCATCAGTAGTGTGACATCAGTGTGAAGGAAGGTGTTGTGTGCCCCCTGTGTCAGCCATTTTTTGGTAAAGGTGGTGTTCCTGGAAATGGGATGTGGGCCTTCCCTACAGGTGCCCTAGTAATGATCAGGTTTGTAACCTCTGGACAGATACTCAGCTGTTAGGGCATCTGTTAAAATTAAGTTGCACTTCCTTGGAAGATGAAGCTTGTGTGATTCTATAGTTTGGTCTTATAATCAGGTCTATGAAGTTACAGAATTAGTTTGTTAGTGCTATTTGGCCATACAATGATCGAAGGAACATCTCTCTCTTGTTTCAGAGCATATATTTCATCCTGTCATATGTCTAGAAATTACTTAGTTGAGGGCAGAAAACTTAGCAACGTAAACAGAAGTTGAGATCTAAACTAACTTCTGGTTTAAACAAACACTCTAGGACTTAGTTTTTTACTTAGTAATTCATTATTTTTTCATTTCACACCCCTTCATGCATTTTGATCCTTGAGATTGTTTCTCTGTGTAAATTTGGTTTTCTTCTAGGATTCTTTCTTCCCTCTTTTTCTTCAGTGGTGCTTAATCTCAATTTCATATTTGTCTTTTGAAATCTCTTTCACTCGAGCCCTTTCTTTGCCAGATAAACTCGACTTCTCTTATCATTTTCAAATGTATTGCCACTAATCTCATTGTCTCTGACATACCGGCTTCCACTTTGTTCCATATCATATTTTCTGCCTACTCATGCTGCATTTTTAAAAAACTGACACATTGAACTTCCCTCTCCTATGACTCTCTATAATTATCAATAATTCAGAAAATCTTCTCCTTATCGTCTTACATTTCTGTTTTCCCTCTTTTGTTTGCTTCTCTTGAGCTCTGAATGTGTTAACTAGACTCTTCTTTTTTATACAGACTGTCAAAACACGGTTCTTTTCCAGTATCAATGTTAAGAAAACTCCTATGTGGGAAATTTTACTTGGTTTTACACAATAAATTTCCTCCCTGATAATAACCAGTTTATAAATATCTATTGAGTGCCTCCTCTATGCTGGGCTCTGAGAAGAAAAGTGAATTCCCTATTTCAAAAGTTTATTTTCTTCAGAGAAGACAGATAACATGTAAACTAACAAATGTAGTCATGTCAGTCCCGAGGGTTATGGAGGAGATAAATGGCCAGGCATGAGAGGAACTCTTCTTTACAGTTCTGATATTATCAGTAGTCTGATACTACTCTAGTATTTGTTTTTTAGTTTTTTAAAACTATTTTTTTTTCTGGTACTTTCTCCGTACCCATCATCCCCCTCATGTACCCCTTTGATGGCCAATTGTGCATTAAAAATCAATTATGTAATCTGATTGCATTGCCTTCTTCCTTATAATCTTATGCAATTGTTTTGATTCCTGAAAAATTTCTTTGCTACATTCTGTACCTTGAAGGTCATCTTTAGTTATTCTTAAAACCAAAATGCTTTTATCTAAAATAAACCCTACCTTTTGACATCCAGGTTTGTTTTGGTGGTTTTTAAAGAACAGTGATTCTGAGTAGAACATGTGTGGGTGTGTAAGGTTGCCGGTTGTCTTTCTTACGACAACCAGACTTTAGTATGAGAGGTATGATTTTAGGAAATGACAGCTGATAGTGAGTAGTGTGTGTAATTCTGCTTAGCAAAATAAGACTAGCAGTCCCCAGTTTTCAGAACTGAACGTGCAACTCTTAGTCCTGCTAGGTTTTTGATTTAAAGTCCTGCTAGGTTTTTGATTTAAATCTGAAAGTGAATGCTCAGTGGTGTTTTCTATTTTCAGGGATGACTCTGTTCCAGAAGACAACATCTGGAGGGGCGTCCTCTCTGTCGTTTTCTTCTTTCTTATCATCAGTGTGTTAGCTTTCCCCAACGGTAAGTAATGTAATGCGTTACCACATTTTCCTGCGTGTTGTTCTCTTCTGGGTTTTTCTGATGTGCAAGTCATCTAGAAGATGAAGCTAGAAGATAGAGTAGAGAATAATCTGGTGGTTGGGTCACGGCTCTGGAGGCAGACTGTGCATTGTGCCCCTTCTTAGCCCAAGGCCTTAAGATGCCTGCTAGTCACTAAAAGTGCTTCCCTTTCCTTCTGAAAATGGAGATAATGGGGAGGTGCTGTTATGAGAGTTAACTAAATTAATTATCAGTGAGTCATAAAGTATTGAGTTCTGCTGAGTTACTCCTTTTTGCTACGGATAGGGTCAATGCTGTAATGAGTGCTACTTAAACAAATTTTCCTCCCAAATGATCTTTTACTCCGTAAATATTGCATTTGATTACACATTTGGGGGATGAATTTTCATTAGCAGGAAATAATGACAATCGTTACCGTGCATTTTATCCCCCATCATGATTATAGAGTGAGTGAGGCAAAACCTTTGCTTAAGACACAAGTTTGCCCACAATTCATCCCTTTCCTTTGAAACTGAATTATCCATTAAAAATTGAATTTTTCTTTTTTTGAGACAGTATCTTGCTTTGTTACTCATGCTAGAGTACAGTGGCATCATCATAGCTCCCTGCAACCTCAAACTCCTGAGCTCCAGCGATGTTCCCACCTCAGGCTCCTGAGTAGCTGGGAGGATAGGTGTGCTACCACACCTGGCTAGTTGATTTATTTTCTCTTAGTTCCTTGCAGTACCTTTTCTCTAGACCAGTGGTTCTCAACCTGTGGGTCACGACTCCTTTGGGGGTTGAACAACCCTTTCACAGGAGTCGTCTAAGACCATCTTGCATATCAGAAATTTACATTACGATTCATAACAGTAGCAAAATTACAGTTATGAAGTAGCAATGAAAATCATTTTATGGTTGGGGGTCACCACAACGTGAGGAACTGTATCAAAGGGTCGCAGCATTAGGAAGGTTGAGAACCACTGCTCTAGACCATTCTGTTTGTTCTCCGTAACCATTTCTAAATGCTCACTCTTAGATCCTGTTTCTTTTACACCTATTATATTTTGAATCTATTTACAGTCTTTTGTATGGGTCACATGCCATAGTCCCTACTCAGGTTTTCAATATCAGGCTTTAAGATGTGTCTCCTCTCTGTCGGTCTATGCTGTTTAGCAGATTGTCACATGTAATATGAGAAGCTCATCATGAGTGCTACGGATGCTACCTGGAAATGTTCCATGGCAAGGCTCTCAGGCGTCCCAAGATGGCGGCAGTGTAATCGTGTTCTGTTTTTTTGCTTCTCTTATGTAGCACTGTGTTTGCAAGAACAAAGTGGTTTTAGTATATAGCACAGTGCTCAATTATTAATAATTGAGCCAGTGAAACCGTGACTCTGAATCCCTCAAAGAATGAATTGTTTTAGATAGCCAAGTTATTTGGAAGCTGAGTTTAGCTCTCCAACTATTCAAGCTTTTAAATCCAAAAAATTTTTAGTGAAAGCCTATCAATATTTGAAAACCTGCATACTTTATGCAGATAATGACAGAGAGACTTCAGCTTTGCCGTGAGGATTGATGGTTCTGATAGTGCACAATTATTGGAATGTAAAGACAAGTGGTATATTACTTGGATAGATGATAGAATGGAGGGGTATTGTCTCTGCTGTATAGAATTTGCTAAGACAAGTCCCCAGTGTCAAACAGCTTTTTGGCTACTTGCCAACTTCCTTTTTCCTCTCATCTCTGACACACAATCAGAATTTTAGGTTTAAAGGAGACCGGGAGCATTAGGCAGGCTCCTCTTTTGGGGGGGTGCTGTATTATAATGTGGCATCAGTAGAACTAAGCCTTTCTGTACAAAGGTACAGGCATCAAAGGCAGCAAAATACAAGCAAAGCAAGGTGATGGTAACCTCCATCCTAGGTCAGATACCAACACAACATGGACTGCCACCTAAGCCCCCAGGGAAGATTCTGGAGCCTTGACAGACAGGAGCAGGTGACTCCCCCACCCCCAGGCATTCTACCTTCTGGCACCTGTGAGGGTCTGCCACTCACTTCCCAGTCATCAGCTGATGCCACAGCCATTGTTGGTCCGTGCCCTCTACTCCTTTTATTTTCATTTCTTCTGTCCCCTGTCCTCGCTCTTTTTTTCCCATGTCCATCAGAGCACTGTATGTGCATATGTGCTTGGGAAACTGATCAACTCATCAGGTCTCTAAGTCTTCAGCTTTTCTTGGCTATGTTATCTGTTGTTTTGTTCTCTAGGGTTACTTTTTCATGGCTTTGAAAGTTTTTCTTTTGCTCTTTTTTTTTAAAACTTGCTATTTCTGAGTCCAGATCCATTTTGGAAGTCTGAGCATCCTAAAAGATTCATCTCTCAATAGCTGAGATTTTACAGTCATCCCTTCAGTGAGTCCCTTCAGCATCCCTTCAGGAGCTGAGCATTTGGGCTGCATAAGCAGATGTTTTTCTTAAGGTCCTGAGGTGCTAAAAGGTTGGGGGATTAAATCTTTTTGACATAATGTTTTGTATGATTTCTCTTGGCTTTTCCTATGTTCCTCATTGAAGTCCTCTGATCTCCAAAGTTTACTTAACCTGCTCACTCTCTCCTTGTGGGCCTGTGCTTTTATTTTGATCTTAGAAAGAAACCCAAAGCATGTCTTGTGCTTTTCTTATCCTGGCTGTGTGGATTTTTCGATACACACAGAGGGTGCAGGACCCACAGAGCTCACGTAGCTCAGCTAACCCATGAGAAAGCTAAACCCACAGCCAGCCGCGTGCAGGGCCCCACCTCTGCATTTTCCTTCCTCAGTGCTCTCCTGGCCATCTCTCTCATTAGGTCCGCTGTGATGTGTTTTATTAATAACTTTGCTTCCTACATCATATATTTCTGTCTTCTGTTTCTCTCCCTGTTGTTAGCTTCTGGCTTCTCTTCCTTCCAGAGCAGAGTCTTAGCTGGCCTGTGCCTAGTGTGCTTTAGATCCTGCAGAAGGTGGGTGCTGGCTGAGTCCATGCTCCTGTGTTACCCAAATGTTGTTCGTGAATGGCTGAGGCTAGCACGTCGATCTGACCCTCCCTGTTTTCCATTTTCTACTCCACTCCTTCCTGACCATCCTTTCTCATCCACCCATGGATGTTCATCAGTGGGCAGAATATGCCAAGAACAGGGTTTCAGAGAGGTGTAGCAGGTACAGGAAGGAACAATGGCGGTTCCATATCCTACATAGGAGGGCTTGGGACATTAGTCAGAGAGGAGAGGACTTCGAGTCCTGTGTATACAACAAACAAACACATTGTGTTTTCCTAGTTTATTTTTGAAAGATCTGCGTATTCACACTTTGTGTACATTAGTAAAACTAACTTTTCCACATGGAAGAATGTTGTTGAATGGTTTAAAATTAGGGACAGCTTTGGCAGTAGAAGTGTGGGAGCTGCCAGGCCACAGGCAGCGTGCTCCCGAGCTGCGTGGTCTCCGTCTCAGAGCTGGGGCCCAATGCTGGGCGGCCGCTTCTCTGGGTAGAGTGTGCAGGCCTCTTCTTGCCCTAGTCTTGTCACCTTATTTTTTGTCCCCCCCACCCTTGGCACATATTCTCAAATTGTTAATGAAAATGGACTGGAGAAGCAGAGACCCAAAGTTGCCTTCTCCTTCAAAAGCAGTTTTGGGAAAGTGCCCATTGTGGCTAGCATGCCCAGAATGATTCTGTTTTGGCAACTTCAGATGCGTTTGTCCTTGACCTAGTAAAGGCTGCCCTGCACATTTGCATAGAGGCCTCCATTTGATTATGTCTACATGTCTCATCTTGTATGGGTGAGTTCATAAGTACTATCTGTGTGGTGGAATTGGTCCATTCCTGCAGGAAGTGTTTCTTCTTGTGGAGTCTAATAACAAAGGAGGCCCCTGACTTTCTCTGTAGGGTTTTATATAATAATAATCAGGATGATTTTGGCTGCAAGTAATAGAAAATCCATTTCAAAATGCCTTGAACAATAAGGAAAATGTTTATCTTCTTAGGTAACAAGACATTCTGAGATAGGGTCATTCCGGGGTTGGCTAATTCAGCAGCTGTCAGTGGTTTCGAAGGCCCACATTCCTTACCGTTCTCTGTTTTCCTATCTTCAACCTGGTGGTCCTAGTCTGTGTTCTGTTTTGATGATCTTAAAATTGCTCCCTTAGTGCCAGACATGTGATAGCAGGCACTGTCCAGCAGAAGAAGAGATCATCTCTTTTTGTGTATCTTTTATTTAAGATTGAAGAAACCTTTTCTAGAGATCACCCAGCACACTTCTCCTCCTACCTTTTTTACTGGAATTGGGCCTCATGTCTCTTGTCCATCCAGTTCTGAGCACAGGAATTTATAATACTTACTGGAATTCACAGAGTGAGCCCTTTCTTTTCTTTCTGCTGTCAACAAGAGAAATGTCTCTCATCACTTCTTTGAGGTCTTTTGATTTTCGTTCTCTCTCTTTTTTTTTTTTTTTATTTTTTTGAGACAGAGTCCCACCGTGTTGCCCTCAGCAGAGTGCCGTGGCACCACCGCCCACAGCAACCTCAAACTCCTGGGCCCAAGTGTTTTTCTTGCCTCAACCTCCCAAGCAGCTGGTGCCCACCACAAAGTCCAGCTATTTTTTTTGTTGTAGTTGTCATCGTTGCCCAGCAGTCCTGGGCCAGGTCCGAACCCAGCAGCCCCTGTATATGTGGCCCATGCCCCAGCCGCCTAGCTACAGGCGCCGAGCCCTTTGATGTTCTTGATTTTCCGAGTTTATTGTTCTGTTTGTCCTCCTCATTTGACATTGTCTGGAAAAATGACAGGGGATTGGTTGACTTGCATTGGCTTAGAATTTACCCCTGAGTCCTTTGAGAGAAGAGTGGACACTCAAAACAAAATTTTGTGTGCCAGTGAACATAGTGAGCGGCAGGATTATGTTCTGGGATCCCTTCCTTCAGTCCTATGGACAGACATGGAGGGAGAAGCCCCCA